GGCAGAATAACAGAGACAGCAGTGTCTCATACTCACCACGTATACTGCTCACAATCCGGGAATCCAATTGCATCCAACTGAAGATAGCCCGAATCATACTTCTGCTCCCATATCTTAATCCTCTCAACGGCAGCCTCGGGAATCCCAGTACCCTGAATCCAATCTACATCCTCCTCACCAAAGAACAACGGGGTAGTCAATTGACCAGGCTGAGGCAGGGTACGAAGATACGGATACCAAAAACTGTCGGGCCCGCGTAGATACTGGCCCATGAGGAAGAAGGCAAAAGTCTCCTCCGGCCCGACCTCGTCGATCCATGTCCGCGGAAAGTCAACGCCGTGTTTGGGGAATGAGCCCCGTGGTGACTCATAGCCAATGGCATTGTACCAGGACATTGACACGCTAATTGGGCTGTTGATCACTCGGGTCTCTTTTTGGATGGCTTCTGGCCAGTCTGCTCTCACTTGCAGGTGCACGCCGCGCGAGGCGTCTTGTGCGATGCGCACGCTCTTATCAACCGTGCCACCATGCTGGATAAACCAGTTCACTAGCTCTGTGTGAGCTTTTAAACTTGGATCGACTTGTCTGTTTTGTGTTAGATATACGCTTGGGAATGACGTATCTCCAGACTGCACTTACTCCGAGGAAGCTGCCATTTTTGAAGCAAGTGTATCTTTTTTTTTGTTGGATATCTTTTCTCACAGGCAGGACTGATTGCTACCGACAAAGTTATCCAAGAATGAACCGACTTGGTTGTGTCAAAGTCCTGAGAAGAATTGATGCGGGATGGTGGGGGCCCGCTTTTTTCTCCGAGAGATTCAACGTTCTTTTTTGCGCGTCTTATAAGAATGATCTACGAAATGATACTTTCGGGCTGATATAGGCTTTCCTACTATTTGCTCAAGATAAATCAATTCGCTTCTCCAGACAACTATCGTACACAAGCGAATACCAATCAAAAGCCACGGACTCGTAAGCCGATCCCAGGCATGTAACATGCGAATACATGCAAGGACACAAATAAGACATCAGATCAGAATGCTCTCCATGCAGAACCCCATGGCTACTCCATCGATGGAAAGTCTATATACAAACGCCATGCCGCAACGGTGACTCGCCCCCACGGTTTTTGCCGTTGGGATTTACCGTCATGGCCACGAAATCAAATGCAAAGAGCCCAGGCTTAGTTCGAGGTCGAGGCCTTGCGGCCAGGGACCATTATCTCCACCAATCCATCATCTTCACCATCACTGCTGTCGTTTTGCTCATCATCATAATGGGAGCTCACGGCTCGTGATCGGAAGTTGTTGTATCGGGCGGGGCCCGAGAGGTTGGAGTAACCAAGAGATTCGTTTATGATAGCCTCGTCTTCATCGTCGGAGTCCATCATGCCAATGCCACTCGGCCCGACCATCTCACCCATTTCATCATCGTCGTCATCCTCGACTTCTAGAGGGACACGAACCTGTCGCCTCACGGATTCTGCGTGGCCATCACCTTCATCTTCAGATGAGTTGGTTGATAGCGAGTCTGGAGGGCTGAATCCTGATTCCGGGAAGGTAGGTGAGTGTTTGCCATCGGCAGAACCAAAGTCACTATTAGGGAACGCAGAGCTGCCTGCGTCGGCGGGGTCATCGATCCCTGCAATTACGAATGGGTTATCCGGCCAATCTGACTCTCGGTCCTCACTTCCTTCGGCCCCCCTGTAATCTCCGTCGCCTTCATTTTCTGATGGTTGTTGCTTTTGAGCGGCAAGACGTGCGGCTAACTGACGGCGTGCCCGGGAAGGACCCAAGCTCAATGGAGCAGGTGGCGGGGGTAAGATAGGAATAGGTTGACTGGCTGAACTTGTGAACACCTTAATAGAAAGTCAGTTAGTAAAGAGACAATACATCTGACAGCCCATTCCTTGTGAAGGGAAAGGGAAAAGTGCATAAGAAACCCAGTTCAGGACAAAGTGACACGAGAATCCCTCCCCCCTGGGCTGAGATTTGCAACACGTTGTCGGCAATGAACATCAGCTAACAGGCATGATATCAGTTTTAGTCAAGCCCACATTGCCCAAGCGCTAGCGATCTAGCACTTTACCTGGAATTCTGGCTCTTTGGCCCTTGCTATAGCTTGGGATACATGAGGGGTAAACCGGGAAGGGATGGGAAGATAATGGGGGATGCACGGAGTCGGTTGAGATCGTGCACCATCATGTCCATCGGAAGAGGTAACCCACATTGTCATTGTCATTTTGATCGGCATTGCCGGAGTCTCTCTCGTCCTGGTCCTCCATTTCTTCGTCCTCGTCGTCGCTTGAGCTGGCAAAGCCACTCAAAAGGGAGGTGCCACCTCCGCCGAATGCTCCACCGGAAACACCTCCTTGGCCGAGGTCGAAACTCTGGAAGGTTGAGCCACCGATTCCTCCATTCAATCCCACGTCCGCCAGAGCGGAGTTAGAGAAGCCTTGGCCAGAATTGGTGTTGTTAAGGCTAGTCTGGCGAGGCCCAACCGATATATCAGGACGAACACCGCCGAGAATAGCATTGTCGCGTTCGCGAGTCTCTGATAAAGTCTGTTCGACGTACTCAATCCAGTCGGGATTCAACACGCTCTCCATAACGGACCGTGAGAGCAACTCTGGCGGATGACGCTCGCTGAACTTGACGACCTCCTCCGCAACAAGAGTAAGGTGTCCCATATATCCGAGGCGGATTTGCTTAGTCCGCTGGGTCTCATCGCTGCGCTTCTGCCCTTCAACAATCGCGGTAGTGATTCGTCCGGTGTCAAATACATCGACTGCGAGTGCCCGATTGTAGCCACGCTCCATGGGCCCGTTAAAGACTTGTTGAATCACATCGTAAACAACATTGTGAAGGAAGTTATTCCATGGGAAGCGGAAGAAGAAGCCCTATCAATGGTTAGCGTGGGTGTTCATCGTTCTCTAAAAGAAATACAAACCAGAATCGTTGGGACCACTTTATTCTCCACGAACTGGATCTTCAGGTAATCGCCGACCACGGGTCGCCCGTCAGTATCGAGTTGGATGTATTGTTCGGCCGAATCCTCATCGCCTCCGTCGTTCGGAACGCTCGTTTCCTCGACCTGTTCAATAATACTAGATGGTTCTTCCGATTGATCGGCTGGGGCGGAGTCAGACTCGGATGCTTGTTCCTTGGAAAAGAGAGGAGCTGGAACGTCTTGCGAGAGGGAAGCCACAGGCTCTTGGTTGTCCTTTCCAGACTCTTGCTGCTCGTCTTGTGGTTCACTTTCAAGATTCATGGCGCTAATTTGATCAGAGAGACCAGTAGTAGGCGACGAGGGATCAATGGGTGTGGTGGAACTTTCAGATATATCTGTGGTTTCTTCGGAAGACACCGGCTCTGGCTCTGGGATTTCCACTGGAGAGGCTTCGCTGACCGTTTCCGTCGGCTGCGAGTTTGCAGTAGCCGTTGTGTCGGTATCAGCTTTTGCGCTCACTAAATCACCAGATGCGCCAACATCTTCAAACCCGTCATCTTCACCCACGTGTGGCACTTCTGTGACCTTGATATCTTCTGGGGATCCAGAATCGAGGGCTGAATCGTTCGCAAAATCGGCCGCGGTATCAATTCCAGAATGCTCATCTTGGTGCGTATCGAAGCCTCGCGTATCGAAGCCTCCTTCACGGATTAACCGCTCACGTTCCTCGTCTCTTTGCCGGACATACTCGTCGCTGCCTGGTTCATTCAGAAGACCCATATTACTGCAATGAAGCAGCTCTGCCATTAATTCACACGTCTTGAATCGGTCGAAACCAAGCGGCTCAATTTGCCCACCCCAAGCAGAGTTCAACTTTCCTCGCTCAACGGTCTTAAGCTTATTTCCTTCATGAATAGTGTGCTGGGAACTTTGAATGAGAGCCATGAACTGGGGAATATGTTTAGCGAAGAGACGCAGCAATGTTCCAAGGTAGATTGGGTCGTAAGTGGTGAGCATTGTATCGGGTCCGCCAAGGGACTCCGGATCATAGTCGGAATTGTTCTTGCGGATTACCTCGATGACAATACCTACGCCCACAGTCAGGGGATTGCCACCCTTGAGCATAGCATCGATGAGTTGCTGTACGCACTCGGTCGAGACAAGCTGACGTGTCAAACTGTTAGGACCAATACATGACTGGTCGTTCGGGCTTGCGTTTGCAGATATAGTGATGATCGCTTTCAGGAAGTCACCTGCGGAGGTTTGAACGGACGCCGGACGATCAGGGGACAAGAAAGAAAGAAGATTGGGGATCAAACCCTGGGATCTGAGCCAGTCAACAGTACCCTGGCCACCCTCTGCCTTCTCAAGACTGATGATTTTCAAGAGAAGATCCATGACCATCGGGTTATCAACATGCTGCAACAATGCTGGGACAATTCCATCAAGGGTCTTGAGAAACTCCAGCATCTCGTCGGTCTTTTTATCAAGCAAAGTCTCGTTTACTTTCGTGAAGTAGCTTGCTTGCAATGAATCGAGAGGAGGAGGTCGTCGCAGGAAGCCCCAGAATTCGGCCAAGTATGCAGGGTTGGCCATCATGGATTCGAGAATGGACCATGTCTCTGATGAGAGAATCTCACAAGCGATATAGGCATGGGTCAGACGCTTCTTTTCGACTTTGTCTAGGTCATCCGGGTCAAGAATATCCCTCAGATCCCCTTCCTTCTCCTCGTCCATATCCGTCTGCTCCGCAGAAGCGGCAGCATCCTTGCCCTTCTCTGAAGTGTCTTTCGCATCATCTTCGTCGTCATTCACCAAGCTCGGTGCCGTGACGTATTCCATAAGCCGTTTCAAGGCATGATCCTCGCGCAGGTATTCAATGAGTTTCGTATTAAGCTGTTTCAGTTCTTGAATAGTTTCGGGCTCGTCTAAGAGTTCCTCAAGGGTGAGATCGGGTTTGTCGAGCAGGGTATCGATGGTGGAAAGATTCGCATATCCCCCAAAGCGCCAAAACATGATGGAGTATATACCCGAGGGAAATAATTCATAAAATGGATTCGTTTCGTTCGTCTCCGAGATGTCGTAACGGAGCAGTCTATGGTACAAGGGTTGGTCGAAAGATCGGGTGCCCAGGAGAGGTTGCGCGACAGGCCGATACAGCGGCAAGCAAGCGTGGTGTCCACACACACACAGAACACAGACCAGGTCGCGCAGGTCGGGTGGGGTACGCTCTCGACCGTCACGGCCGATAAATGACTGGAGATGGAGAAATAATCGATTGAAAATTGAAGCGGTCTAGCGCTGTATGAATAAAGAATTTATTAGCCATGAGGTTCACCCGCTTGCATCACCAGCAGTCCCGATGATGTGTGTACCCGTGAAGCAGGCCGCCTTCACCGGGGATGCGACAGACGGAGTTGGAGGATCTGGTCAGGAGGATTTATAGAAGCTACTGGACCAGAAGTCAGAGCCCTTAATAGAGCGTACCTTCAATCCCGAGGGAATGACGAAGAAAGAGAGAAACCCGAACCTCCCTGTGGGTTTGGAGAGGGGAAGATGAAGAAATGGGGTGAGTGGAGTTGAGTCAAAATGAGCAGACTCTAGGCACACGCACGGAGAGAGAGAGACGGGAATGGCGACTCAACATCTGTCCGTCGAGAAAGCAGTTGAAGAGAGAAGAAAGAAAGGTTCCGCTTCGGGGGAAGCTGTGCTGATCGATTACCGATCCCTGATGGCCACGAGCCCTGTAGAAGCAGGGGCGGAAACACGTATGTAATCACCGCGGGGATCAAAACCACCAGATAAGAATGAACTGCACGATCTATGAGTATAGATGACTTTTTAGTTCTGGTGTTTATGAAGTTCTTTTCGCTTAATCTTACTTATCTACGCCTGTGCTTTTAATTTCCATCTCATCTCATCATGGGGCCCGTTGCATCAAAATTACAGTGGGTACTGGGTACAGCCCTTCCCCGCCAGATTTGGGTGTCAAGTCAGGTATCAAATACCTTCAGTGTCCTGTCCCACGTAGCCCAACTAAACTGCCACGAATACAAGGATCTAGATCCCGGATAGTCCTTCATGTACATCATCTGACGATTCTACTCCATACCTTGCGTATATTCCCATAGCAATAACCTCCCCACTAAGGTGAAACAAGCTAAATTTGGTATAACTTTGAATGTACTTTACGACCACGTGTATATTATGGCCTCAGGCATCAATGACGTCGCCCATAGATAGTTCCGGGAGCTGATCTCCTTGTCCAACGATCAGAATCATAGATCATGTCGTTTTCGAGGGACCGCTGCACAAGGCGTGTATATGGGCAAGCGGGAGAAGGTGGATTTGTAGCAACCCCACTAATAGTCGTATCAACGCAATTGAACGCGTAGTTCCAGTGATGATCTATATCAACATTCCTATAGACCGCGATTAATGTCCACGAATGCGCACAGCTATGCATGCTCCAGGATTCCAATTGGATATGCTCGCTCAATATTCACATCACTACCTGGAAAGGCACTTTATCTGCAACCAGTCCACAAAGCCAGTCGGATCCTTGATCCTTCGGTAGGTCCGGCATGAAAAAGCACACACCACTCTAGTTACCGAAGGGTGACAACAAGAGAAATCTCGCCGCCGTTGATTTCCAGACGAGCGTACGTATTTGAGCTCCGTTGTACAAAATATGAATTTAGCTTTTAACCGTGCGGCGCCCAAACCCGAAAGGGCAATCCGCCTCGATTTTGCCTATCTAGGTAATAATTATCCGGACAATCTTTACCCAAATGGGTCAATATCGAATGTACCAGATATGTTGTTAGTCTTTTCAAAATGCTAAGATGAAGTCAGTTTAAGGGTGTAGCGAACGATATTGCATCTTGGGGGTATTCTATGCATCAGATTAATAAAGAAACCCGAGTATATGTCGTAGTAGGTTGCATTGTAGTCTCATTTTGATTCCAAGCGTTTATGTTGCATAGGAGAGTAACTACTCCGTACAGTTCAGCGACATTTAAACCTATTAGAGAGAGACCTGTTGTCTGTAGTATTATCATATCTATCATTCTTTCTTTCTTTCTTCTAGTTCTTATGTTTCATCATGTTTGCCGAACTTTTGCTCTTTTCTTTTCTTGCCTCGCCGCTGGCTGCTGGGTTATCCTAGGATAACATTGAAAAGGAGCTCCTCAAGTATTTCCAACGGCTTGCACTACATTTCTGGTCGGCAGCAGACGGATACTGGTGCCACGCCGGCCATTCTGGACACTGACCTCACGTCTATTGCTTCATCTCTTTGCTTTAATATCTAGCTGGGCACTTATCGGGAAATGGCCCGGGGTGTAGCTATCAAAGACTTTGTCTAGAGTCAAAGACGAAGACAAATAAAACAATTCCACTGTCATATAATTTAGCTGCTATGTAAATGTAGAAACGATGTGCGTGTATGACGAACCAGACATGAAGTATGAAGCATCGGCCCACCGAGCGGAGTAACCCTAAATCTACAGTTGGTATCATCAACCAGGATAGCGAATCAGACGTATTCTCTGTATCTGTAGAAGTCTCCACAGCAATCATGGGATGTACAAAGTACGGCCTAGGCTACTCCCCACTCATTAGGCATCCACTCGGGCTGATCCCATGTCCACTCCTTGTGTCTCAGACTGAACTGCAAGCTTAGTTCCTAACTGTCATCTGTTCATCAGGGCAAAATCATGGCGCCCTTTTCAACTCCGAGCCACCCTCACTCAAGAATATCCTCCAGCTCCAGCTTTCACTGAGACAAATGCTCACAGGTTGAGTCTGAAAAGCTGATCCGTGGTCTCTAAATCTACTAATCATCTTGTACTCGCATACCAAAACAGAGGTCGTAAGAACGATTACCGAGGCGTCAGAGCAGGAGTGGCAAACTCAAGCTCCTGAACTGGATCTGAACGAGGTCTTGGTCGTCAAGGCCGCAGCAAAAATCATCACGTAGCGGAAAATGAAGCTAGATATATATGCCATGGGACAATGCCGGCACCGGAGCAAGAACTGTCAGGATCGGCCAACGCACAGCCCTTTATTATTTTTCTACTATCTACGGGGTAATCAAGAATGCATTCTCAGGGGCTTTGCAATGTCAGTAGTGGTCGGTCCTATGGACCATCGATTGTCCATTTAATGGCAATTCGAGCAAAGTTGTCTCTATATCCTTCTCAATGTTGCCATTGAGCACTGCAGGTCATTAGCGAACCCAACCGGAAAGATGGCCAAACTTGACAAGAAGGAGGATCTGAGCCGAGGCACCTCAAAATGATATCAGCTCAGACGATGTTTCAGGTACGAAGTACATGTGTGCTCAATTGCAGCCCTCGGAGATCAGTGAGCTTACATAATAAAGGGTCGTGCTCGGTTTACTCGGTGAGGACTAAAACGGAAAAGGAAAGCCAAGAAGTGCAAGGAAATCCATGTAGAGGCACGCTTCGACCTGCACTTTTCTGTTTCTTGGTCTACATGTCAGATGCTGTACCACATCTGCTGCAACATCTCCATGATTCATTGGGGCATCGAATAGTAAAGGCAGGCTATCTCTAGCTACTGATCCTAGCCATGTGAAATGGCCGACCAATGGAAGCAAGCAACAGCAGCAAAGTGTCCAGGACTCCCAAGGTGGAAATTATACTTACCATTCTGCCAAGCTACTTGACAGCGACCCCTTGTTTCGAGGCTCGATTTATATGTAAGATTTGACTTAACTATATGGCAGATGCTTTCAATGATGTCAAAGTTTGTGAAATTGGGGTTATGTCTGCACGCAGGTTTTGAATAGTCATCGAACTACTAGGCATCCGCTCTCTCAAAGCGCATCACATATCCATAAACCTTCTCTCCATTGGTTGGAGAAGAATACATAAGCCTCCTCTCGTGATAGACTCGTTTCCATCCTTTTGGGATTCCGAACTCTTCAATGGCCTTGACATGATTGGCATTAAACGTCAATTCACCATGCTTCTCTTTGATTGCCTGGATATATTCGTCGCTGACGTCGTCTACCGAGATCGAAACCGATTTGCGTGCAAGCATAAACATCCGTGCGAGCACAGCATTGAGGTAGACAGGACCAAGGAAATGAAGCGCACCAAAGCATACAATATGGTCATATTCACCAGCACCCTAATATTAAAGTGAGCTTTGTCTTCATTCATCTTTCCCAAAACAAGTATTCCAAAGGCACATACCATGATCTGCTCCTCCATTGGCCCAACTCGAAGTTCCTTGTAATGTTCCACGTTTTCCAACATGCCGGGTGATAGGTCAATGCCGGTCACCTCGGCTTGGATCCCTCGAGCATGGAGAAACTGCCCAAATCCACCAGTCCCACACGCAACATCAAGAACTGTACCCGAATAGTCCCAATTGGTAGTAAGGTACTTTTGCATCTCAGAGAGCTCCGAATTGCTCCACACGGAATGGTACGAGGGGGCAAATTTGTTGTAAACCTCGGCGACATGAGCATTTTGAACACGGTGCCACCCAAGCTGCATCTGCTTGGTCGCAAGTAACAAGTCAAAAACCACCAGGAAATTTCTCTCCCACAACAAGGTCATCATCAAGTGTGTTTCCCTTTGGGTAAAAGACCACGGGGATACAATTAACTTCAATAACGTAGACAAGCCCGGTTCTTTCCTCCAGGCGCATATCAACACGGGCCCATCCACCACCACCGCTGACACCGATTGCTTTGAACGCGTCCGCAGCCGCATTCTGGAGGTTCTTGATGCGAGGCTGCTCTTCCACAAATGCATATTTTATGGTGCCTTTATCAACAGCTTCGAATTTGTTATGCCACGTCAAGAAGGCTTCGTTGTCGGGAGTGTCTTTCGGAAAGACATATTGCAGCGGTGTCAATGCCACCACCTCCTTTCCCATTTCCACAACTATGGCAGAACATTCCCGGCCGATGATATAATCCTGGACGATGATACCAAAGGGTGTTTCTTTCTCCTGCAAAAGGGCCACGCGATTTATTACTTCTTTCTCCGTGCAGCAGATTGATTCCGCATCCAGGCTCAACGAACCATATCCGTCAGAGTACTTGACAATTTTGGGGTATTTCCCAGGGGTGTTTTCGGGGACACGGAGACCTGTTTTCTCGGCGGCCCTCTGGAGATCGACTTTATTCTTTGCTAGAAATGTCGATGGGTTGGTGAGGATGGGAACACCTTTGGTTTCGAGGTATCTAGTGGCTTCAACTCCTGCCACATCGTCGGTTTCGATGCCCCACTGAAAAAGAGATCTGTAAGTATAGTCCAGGAATACAGCGCATCTAAAAGTCGGGATTCACCATGTAATTCATGAACATATCAAAATGTTCTTTACAAATCTCGTCAATCTCTGCCTCAGCATTGCTCTTGGTGACGTAACGAGTGAAAAACTCATGGCGGTCTTTTGGAATATACCGATTAGGGTCGGGAAAGTCATCATACTGTTTTGAAGTCAGAGATGCTGGGAGAAGGCCTCAATAGGGTAGACATACCTTCTCAAAGGGGGAGTCAACTCCTTCGTATGACGAATTAATCAAACAAATCTTCATTTTCCTTGTGATTTGATCAATTGTAAAAGGAAAGCGCGAAGAGCTGTACCGAGTCCATATTCGAGAGATTCGGTCTCATATTTATGTAGCGGACTGAACTAGCTACCACACAGACTCACTACACTAACCGAAAACCCATTGTTCAGTTGATCTGGCTAGCCGGGAAATAACTCGACTGGCGACTAATCAGAATCTTTGATCAGATAATGTTGCGTTGTTGCGTGCGGGTTCGGGACGCCATGAGATGAGGATCTACTACAAAGTGGCGTGAAGATCGCCCCCCACTGTTCGTGGCCAGCTGAAACTTCGTACTCCGTAGACCGCTTGTCCTTTTGCTTTTTTAGACAGTTTCCAAAAGAGTACAGTACTCATCTGGTTTGAGCTTCCGATTAGCCGCTGATGGGTCGAGCTAACGCATTTCACAAGCGAGTGGCCATCCCAAAACACCATAATAAATACGATATATTATAACTATCGGCAAATGGGGAGATAGGGTAAACATATGGTTGTTGAGATATAAACGTAGAATATATCGCATTTACTATAGTATTTGGGGGTGGCCACTCGCTTGTGAAATACTTTAGTGTGCAACTAGTTATCAGAATTAACGCGGCTCCCACTTTGGCCTTTGTTACTAGTTGTATACTACCTTTCTTTGGCGATCTACCAGTTTAGCGCGATTGGAGTGGGGCGCTGGGAAAGAAAGCGTGAGTGTCTTAATCTGTTTTCGAATTCTAATTCTATTGTACCGCTGTCTTGCTAACTCGGAATTTCTTAAGCAGTCTCAATAACTTGGTCCGAAATGGCCTCCTCTTGGGCAGATTTATGAGCCGACCCGAGCCGGTAATTAGACAGGGCCGAGGCTAAATCAGAGATCAGCGTCAGATCCCTATATCGAGATCTTCGTGTCCACCCAACAGATCAACAAACTGTCCTTTTGAAGCCAATAGCGACACAAACACGCAACAGTGTGGGATGTTGGGCAGCTTACGTGGAGTTATCTCGGTTGAGGAATGCTACTACGTGAAGCTATAGCTGCCCAATGCTACAGCCTACGATCTCGGCCATTTGAAATTGCTCATTCAATTGAAGGACATGCGATTTTCCGAGTCTCCCCCCTCTTCGTATGGCCCTTACAGAACAATTGACGTAGTCTTGGCTCCTATATTCAGGGGAAAAGGGTGGGCTCGATCAGCGGATGGTAGAGCACATTGAGCCTTCCCCGGGCGAATCGCAACGCTTCTTATAGTCTAGACGTATATTTTCCAATTGCATAAGCCGGGACATCGGCATACGACCTTGCTTCAGACTAGATTGAATAGCGCTTTTTTCATCGGACCAAGTAGCCTTCAGTTTCCTAGGCGCTGTTCATAGATTATCCTCCACATAAGGAGATTATAATGGTACTAGGGGACTAAAGGGCTCCTGCAAGATTTGAGTTGACGTATATTTGTATTTCGTGCATGTCTCCGTCAGGTTTATTTATTATCTTTTTTCTTTTTTCAATCCGCTTCTGTCTAACCACGAACTAGTACCTCATTGCACCAAAAAAACAAAGCGATCAGAACCGGCCGCAGCCCGGCCCCTATCGTCACGGAACGTGAGCTTCTTACATCCTATGCATGCATAGCGTACAGTCCATGCTGCATGATCTCCTAGATCTACCACTGATATATTGACTTCATCCATCACGCCTTCAAACCTTTAAGGGCTGTGAATAAGAGAAATGGGGAATATACTGTTGATTACGCTAATTAATTTGGAATTCAATTCCTGCCTAGCGCAGAAACCTCGGCACGCATGGCCCTGGCTAAAAGTAACTTGGATGTAGACAAGTGAGAAGACCATTGTTTTCGGAGCAAGTAACTAGACATATGTACCTCTTTTGAAATGGCATCACTTAAGGCAGAAATGCTAGGGAAAACGGGCGATGCTTAGAATTCCTAGGATTAAAATGAAATAGCTATAGACCCTTAAAACTTTAGTAATAGATGGTTTGTCTTCGGTTTACGACCTACTTAGAAATGGCGTGAAAGACGTGACGTTATACGCTCAGAAAAGCTTTCGACTTATACGCTCATTAGCGAGAGAAGTAATTCATCGTCGTTACCTTCTAAATACCAATTACTCTAGTTGCCTTGATATAGGGTGGGCCTTAACCTTTAAGGAAATCCATCCAATCACCCTCGCCCTGGTAGCAGTGTAAAGCCAGATTAGGGGATCGCCGGGATGGTAAGCGAAGTATTCCGAGGGTATTCCCAGGAGCATAGGCTGAAATGGGAAAATGATAGGTTGATTGAATAGCCCTATTGCAAATTTTCTACTTAGATAGGGTCGAGGCCGCTAGAATGAGCGGTTACGTTGACTGCGCCAGTCCTTTTTTGATAGGCGATCTAAATGGAAAGAGTTGCACGTGATGAGATTAGCGTGTCGCATTTTATTGATATGTAGCTTACTTATGCCGCTCCTCCCTACCTATGTAACTATAGTTACTTAGAGAGCACTTAGTGGGCAAATCAGGGTGCTTAGATGATGTTCAGTGAGCGGGCAGATCACGTTGATTATATAATGGCCCGTGATCACGTCAGGGTTCTCAGGGACGTGCTCGGTTTTACTCAGTGATTTAAAAGCGGCAAGGCCTGAGGACTAAAACGGAAAAGGAAAGCCAAGAAGTGCAAGGAAATCCGTCATATGCATGCACTTGTATATCAAACAATTCAAGATTCTCCAGTATTCTATATTTTGCCAGCTTTTACCAGAAGTGCTCCGCCCCAGCTATTGGCTAATTACCATCTCGGCCCACCGATCGCGGTTTTATTAAGCACTGGCCACGCGTGGTCTGGAATCGCTGTCAAGTCCGCTGCCTATTTGCCCTCACCTCCACCTTTCAATAATAAACCACCCCAACCCAACCCACCATCATGAATCGACTATTCGGCACAAAGACTACAGGCCCCAAGCCGACTCTTCAAGGTGCTATTAGCAATGTACGATGCCCGCACAAGCCCGATCAAAGGCACCCATCCCCGCCCCTCAAGATACCCCACTAACCATACAACAGGTCGACACTCGAGTTTCCAGCATAGATGTCAAGCTCGCAGCACTCAACGCCGAACTCTCCACATACCAGGCCAAAATCGCCAAGATGCGCGACGGGCCCGGCAAAACCGCCCTCCGGCAGAAAGCGCTCAAGGTCCTGCAGCGCCGGAAACAATACGAGGCGCAGCGAGACCAACTCTCCCAACAATCATGGAACATGGAGCAGGCGGGCATGATGCAGGATAATTTGAAGAATGTGATGACGACGGTGGACGCGATGAAGACGACCACGAAGGAGCTCAAGAAGCAGTATGGCAAGGTCGACGTGGATAAGATCGAGCAGATGCAGGATGAAATGGCGGATCTGATGGAGGTCGGGAATGAGATTCAAGAGAGTATCTCCCGGGCCTATGATATCCCTGAGGATGTTGATGAGGCCGAGTTGGATGCAGAGCTTGAGGCGCTTGGCGAGGAATCCATGTTTGAGAGCAGCATGGGCGAGAGTGCTATGCCGAGCTTTTTACAGGATGAGGTGGCTCCCCCGCAGTTTATTGATGAGCCGCCCGAGCAGCATAAGGTCAAGGAGGCCGCAGGCGGACTTGGATAAGACTAATGTTAATGCGTGCTTTTGTTTAGCGGCAACTGGGTGTTCTTCTGTGTCAAGGTGCAGCCAACGGAGTTGATTGGGTGTTTATTTTAAGTTGCAATAAGCTACCTCATATCATATTTGAAGATCTCATGCCATCCATGTGTCATATTATAGCAATTAGGGTGGGTATTATCAAGCTCTATGGATCTGTTTTCGCTACAATCCGGGACGTGCTTTTGTCTGGAAAGGATCAGCATCTAGAGATTAAGATGATTTGCCCAGTCCCACCAGCACCAGCAGGGCCACATTCATCACAACGATGACAATCCAAACAAGAACTGCAACGACCGAAGTGAATAGGTTGTTCCGCATCGGAACTGTCACTACATCGACTTCTCCGTCTCGTTCGGAAGCTTCTTCGGTCCGAACGGTCATGTAGCGGTTGAGACAAGTGAACCAGATCAGTGGCGCCGAGACAAACGGTAGGATAACGCTCAAAGCAACCTGACTGGCAGTCAGAGTCCTGTCAAGACCCTCCTTGCCAACAGCCCCAGCAATGATGATGCTAGGAATGATACTGACCGAACGGGTGATGAGTCTTCGAAGCCATGGTCGGATGGTCCAGTTCAGCATCCCCTCGCTAACCATTTGACCAGCAATTGTGCACACGATTCCAGCGGAGATACCTGACAGTAGCAGGGCGAGAGCAAATACTAAACCGGCAGCTGGTGCGATCGACTTAGAGAGCAGGTCATGAATTCCGAACAGGTCGGCACTGCCTCCGCCAGGGAGATCATAGAGAGCAGCACCCGCAACAATCAAGATCGCGCTATTCACAAACAGGGCGAAGGTGAACAGTGACAGCGCTAACTCAATGATGGAGTATTTCATGCAGCCGCGGATTGCATGGATCGATGGGCGATATTTTACTTCGCCGTCGGCGCTCCCTAGAGGCATAGAGGTCTCCACGTAACCAGAATTGACGTCGAATTCCTTGAGACGGGATTGAACCACGCCGCTGCCAAGAAATAGGGAGTGTGGCATAACGGTAGCACCGAGAATCCCACAGCTTTGGTACAGACTAAAGATGCGTTAGTAGCTGAATACTGTACAGAGGCAGCTGAACAAACTTGCCCTTCTGACTGAACAATAGCTGAAGATGGGACATATCCGCGGAACACTTCACCAACTGACTGGTTCTTTACGAGAGAGAGCTGAATGCAGAAGCAGACAACAACACCTAATACCAAAGCCATGACAAAGAATTCGAACAGTCGAAGTCCTACCATCTTCCCATTGGGTCTGTAGAAAATGAGAATGAAAAGAACATCCACTAGTGTGATAGCACAGCCAGCCACCAAGGGGATTTTCAATAGTAAGTTCAACGCGATCGCTGATCCAACCACCTTTCAAGTTTGTCAGTACGTCAATTAAGACCTCTATCCAAAACGGGACACTCACCTCTGCAATATCAGTCGCAATAATGGCCGCTTCCGCGAGGATATAGAGAAAAATCACAAGCCATTTCGGAAGGTGCTCTCGGCAATTTTCAGCCAGGTTCAAACCAGTCACAGAGCCCAGCTTGATACACAGGGACTGCAAAAGAATCGCAAATAGGTTGGACAGGAGAACAATAAACAACAAGGCGTACTTGAAGTCTGCACCGGCTGCCACATCGGTGGCATAATTTCCGGGGTCGATATAAGCAACCGCGATAAGAAAACCAGGGCCGATGAAACGGCCGAATTTAGCGAGCGATCGAGCGCATTGCAGAGGAGAAGACTTCAAGCTAGTATAGAAAGAGTGGCGAGGTGACCCGCTGCTCCCCGGGGGTGAATCACCTCCCGAGTCCGCAGCGGTCACTTCGCCGCTTGGCACCTTTTCCTTTCCGGGGTCTTGATCCTGCTGACTGATGGGTCTGTCATCGATGCATAGTGGATCATCTCCAGCTGCATTGGCAGAACTGGCATGTCTGCGATGTACTTTGGAATTGGCGAGACCATTAAAGTCATTCCGTGTAGTGGTGTCAGGGCTGAAGGGCGGTGGGCTTTGATTCCAGCTCGGGTTGTCGAGAGTGTCGTCAGTCCGCGAGGGGCAATTCATGCTGCAGGCTTGGCTCTGGATGTCGGCTCGATCTAGTGTTTAGCTGCTCTGGAAGATGATTTTATCTTGAATTAAGCCTTGAATTCTTGGGTGTAGACCAAAATGTAATTATGCGATAAGTAACTTGGTGGAATACTGCCAGTCCGAAAATGCCCGATGTTCGTTATTCTCCGTTCTGGCACCGGCAAACCCTAAGTTGTATATAAACCAGACTTGTCTCTCATATATCGCTTTGTATCCTTCAAATCACCGCTTATATCGCAGTTTTACATTCTTCCTCGTCTTTTATGTCTGCGTTTGAGGTGTAAGGACTTAAGTACCCGCCACCGGGAAGTCGCAAACGGTTGTGGATCGAATTCCACTCAACGCACTAACTGCATAAAATATGATCAGAAGATCTGAAAAAGTGGTTTGAGCGTCGTTCGACATAACTGCATGTAATACGATAGTGGATTTATTCTCAATGGGGCCAGTCCTGCCGGCATCGGCATAGGTCAATAACAAAGAGGCATGATAGTTGCAACTATACCCTGTAAGATATGAATTGTAGGTTGGTACTCCGTAGATACGATTGGTATTTCGTATCATTTATATTACAAAGTAGATGTATCAAGTGTCAATCAAGGATCTATCCAATATATACAACTAGCCGGATGCGTACAGTAATAACAACAATAACAACAACAACATTAACATTCACAGTCAAATAAACAAAAAGATGCAAGGACTACATGCAAGCTGAGAAATAACACCAAATGAATGGCAATAATAAGCAATATGACATGTCTAGCCCCCAGAAAGCAGCGCAGACAAACCCGATATGGCGCACTGTTGCTAATAAACTCCAAGTTCACCGCCAAGTCCCGGCGTTGCCCCTCGCAACCTCTTTACCCGCACGTTGTTTACTCCTCCACCTTCCATCCAGCCAACCCCAAGGATCGTCTCATGCGCTAAGTCGAGGCGAAGTGGATCAACATCTTGATACTCGATGACGGTTGCTGTTGGCAGCAAGGCGCCGTTGATTCTTCAAATTCCGCAGCTTGCCCATCTGAGTCTTTTATTTTTCTTCCACCCGGCCTATCCTCTTCCCCGCATTTTTGTTCTTTGTTGAGATTGAAGGGTTTACTTGACCACCTCCCTTTTTTGACCGCGTTGTTGTTCTATTCTGCGTTTGTTTGCACAGATCCCGTGAGTTCGAACTGCAACTACCCGTTCCCCTCCACAGGTCTTCATGCACTTCATCTGCTAACAAGATGTACCTAGTTGCTGGTCAAAGAGGATAGCGATGGCTGCGAGTACATCTGGCCCCAAAATCTTTGACGATGCGAACCGATCCCCTACCAAACAGTCCATGTTCCGGGCCATGATGTCGTCCAAAACCCATAAACGGAATCAATCAGCCGACGATGCCGCCGCCGCGCGACCTATGCCGAGATGCAAGCCAATCGAGAACATCCCTTTCCAGTTCACCGAGGAGCCTGGTTTCATTGCTGGCTACCACCCACTCAGTGAGATTGTCCCCAATCGTGATGCGGGCGACCACGGAGTGGCCGCGCCAAAGATGGGCGGCAAGGAAAGCAAAGGTGCCCTTCATAAGAAGACCAAGAGCGCTGTCTCATTGAAGTCTCTCAGAAATTATATGGAGCGGAGGGATGGTAAATCGGAGGAGCCACTTGAGCAGAATGATCTGTCGCCCAAAAAGGCCAAATCATCTAATAGTCTCTCGGCCATCCTCAAGAGGTCCCAACGGGGAAGGAAGGATGGCTCGAAGCAGAGTCGCGACAAGGAAAACCGCAGCCCGACTGACTTGATTGATAATATGCCATCTCCAGTCTGGTCACAGGACTCGGCCTCGGTTCGCAAAGAGGCTATTGGCCGATCCAGGCCGAACTCGACCGCCGACCTGAGGCGAACTGTAGAGGACGAGGTCTCTCTCTATATGCCCAAGGGCTACGGGCCAAGCCAGCAACGCAACTTCTGCGACTACTCCCAACCATCCCTCGCCAAACCGACTGACCATAAGCCTCGTCCGAAGTCAGAGATTCTTACAGGAAACCGAAAGGTGAAGGATATTCTTGGGTTGCAGCGCGCACCTTCAGGAGAGAGCGACCCCATTGGGCAAGGCGGTAGTGCCTCTTTTAAGAGCAGGGGGCCACCGAGTCCACGAAAGATATCCCCGTCTACCATGCCAAAAGAAGAGCCCAAGCGTATTTCCCGTGTACAGGCTGCTATCTCTGCATTCAATGCAAAGGGGCGAGATGCTGAAGTGCATCAGCATCTGAACTCCAAGGACCTCGAAAGCGAGTTCGAGAAGCTGCTGGTTTGTTGGCCGGACTATATACAACCGATTTGAATATCAAGGCTAACCTACCGTTAGGATGCAAGGAACATCCCTCATAACATGAGAGATAAAATGCGCTCACTTGATACTAATATCAAGGCTGATTTTATCCAGAAAGATCGGACAGAGAATATCACTCCTCCCAGCGCGGGCAACGATAGCCGTCGAGGACGCGGCAAAGAATCCAAGGAAGACTCCCAATCTCAGGATCGTAAAGGCTCTCGATCACGATCTAGGAGCCGCGGCTTCTCCTTTAAAGGCCCCTCGTCGCCTGGCAAAAAGTTGCGAAGGGATAGTGGAGCATCAAGCCGGATGCGGCCAAGGTCTGTGGATCTTTCTCAGCCTGTTGGTGTCTACACCACCCTGTCAGCCAATGCCTCAACAGCATCACTTGCTGATGCGGCCGCTGTCGATACCGCAGCGGATCCTTCCGACTTTGTGCATTACCTGAGAGAGATCCAAAAGCCCGAGATGGTTGAGGTGGGAAAGATGCACAAACTGCGTCTTCTCCTACGTAACGAAACCGTCCAATGGGTCAATGACTTTATCACTGAAGGGGGAATGGATGAAATTGTGCAGCTTCTCTACCGCATTATGAAGATGACCTGGCGGTATGTATCCTGTCTCCCTCTTTCTAACCAGTAGCTAACCCGTCTACAGTGAGGATCACGAAGACACCCTTCTGCACCAGGCATTGCTCTGTCTGAAGGCTCTTTGCACTACATCTGCGGCCCTGGCACACCTCACTGCCATCGAGGATGAACTTTTCCCCGCTCTGCTGCATATGCTCTTTGACGAGGAAAAGAAGGGTCCCAGTGAGTTCACCACTCGGGGTATCATTGCAAACCTGCTGTTTACGCAGCTCTCCACTGCTCCTGTTGGTGAACTGGGGGCCAAGCGCGCCAGGCAGATCCTTTCTTATCTGGGGGACCCAGCGCCACCAGTGGACAACCAGCCACTGACCTTCATTGCGAATATTTACCAATCGCGACCATATAGAGTGTGGTGTAAGGAGATTACCAACGTGACCAAGGAGGTCTTCTGGATTTTCCTTCATCACCTAAATGTGATTCCCCTCCCCAAGTCGGAAGACCTTTTCGGCGAGAGGATACCAGTAGACACTCGTCCTTATAACGAGCGTCACTTTCCAGTCCCTCGTCCCCCTGTTCCAGCTGCCCCATACGTTGGAGGTGTTGAATGGGATGCGACCAACTATCTTGCAGCACATCTCGATCTTGTAAACGGCCTGATTGCCATGCTGCCCACCACTGACGAGCGAAACCAACTTCGTGATGAGCTCCGTGCCTCTGGTTTTGAGAAAGTCATGGGTGGTAGTCTGCGTACTTGCAAGGAGAAGTTCTATTCTTCTGTGCATGATTGCCTGCGAACCTGGGTCGCAGCTGCAGCCGATGATGGCTGGCCGTATACCTTTGTACGCGAAGGCCCGCCCCGAGGAGGCGAACCTGGCTCACCCACCAAATCCCCCAAGAAGGTCGCGCCTGGTAGTCCTAGAAAAGGCCTGGTCGATGAGCGGCCGCCCAGGCTGGAGCTTGCTCTGGACTTCGCGGACAACCGCCCAGCTGCTGGCCCGATTACCCCGTCGAGTGACCTACGCAGCTGGCTTTAAGAACCGGGTGCGCAATCCCCCGGTTCGATTTAACGAATTTCCCATTCCTCTCTTGTCTTTATTTCTTATCCTTTTCTTTGGGTTTCATACGATCATGACTCGGCGTTAGGGCTGGTCCTCAAGCAGCCCCACCCCAACTTATTTTGTTGGTGTTTTTTTTGTTTACTTGATCTTTGGAGTTTACTGGTCGTCTGTCATTTCTGACAGGCCTTGGCATTCTTGGTGTTATTGGCATGTTGACTGCATTTCCTTGTCCAGAGAAGTCCTGCGGACATGATGTAATGAAGCCATATTTGGCACAGGCGAAGGAGCAAAAAGCGAGAAAGAGACAGACTGTTGATGTTTCCTGTCTCTTTCTCCTTCTCTCCATGGTACAGCGACGCCTGTTCTTCCGACAGGATTTCTTCACGACAAATGATGAACAGATATGAGAATTAAATGAATCGACAGTAGTTTTCTTATTGAATTTTGGAGTTTTCTGGCAGACTGCAGGTGCAAGTAGGGAATCTAGTTGAATATTGTACAGAATATATTGATGTCAGACACAAATATGACTCGACTACGAGCTCTCCTCAGACGCTGTATTATCCTTCTGATCCTTTCTCGGGCCAGGAGGTGGTGCACTGGAGAATACAGTCTGTAAACCAGCAAAGAAGCTTTTCCGAATCTAGAAATAATGTTAGTCAAGACACAAATGAGCATAATTTGCAGAGAGATATCTTACCGCATGGAATGCAGTATCATCCGACTCCCACTCCATAAAGAGCACCGCATAGATAATGACAACTACGTATCATAAAAAGTCAGCATCCTTCCTCAAAATCAACCCCATTATCCATTACAAGTGTATAAGCAATTCGCAATCCACAAATATCCAACCCTAACCCCATCTCAAAAGAAAACTCACATCCAATAACAACCCACTGTCCCAACAAAACAGCCTTCATAAACTTCGGCCGGGCATACTTCAGCGCCGCGCGCCGCCGGTACTTGCGCTCAAGCCGAAACTGGTGTTTCGGGGACAGCTTGGACATATCCGGTGGCCATTGGCGCTTTGGCTGGTACGGGCTGTAATAGACATCTTCAAACGAGGGCGGGGAGGAGTCGGGTTTGTTTGCGGAGAGGCGGAAGGGTGAGGGGTCTTTCGTTGGTGGTGAGGCTGTGAAGGCTGTGAACGGGGTGGTGGTGAAGAGGCGGGTGGTGCTGGGGCTCTGTTGGTGCGGTTTTCCTGTTAGTTTTTGCTTTGGATTTGGGCTTGCAGATACGCTCGAGGGGCATTCTAATCATATGCTCCTGTTTTGTGAGGGGTCGGGTCGCGTACAAGGTGCCATGATGGCCGGGTGAGTTGGAGCTTGCAGGCTGAGGCGCTTGTCAATGTGCTTGGGGGTGATGCGCGCGCTGATGAGGCGGCGGTTAGGGCGCGTCGGATCATGGGTGTTTATCTGCTTGGTTTGGTTGTCTGTTTGGCTTTCGGCTCGGTTGGAGGTATATTGGCTGGTGGTTCTTGGGAATATGGATCGTGAATCACTGTGATTTCTGGTAGGTAGTTTTGGTTTATAATATACAATCTGCTACTTATACCATATACTCCCCTGATAGCTCAGCTGGAAGAGCGCAAGACTGTAATTGTCCTGTTCTGCAAAGAACCTGTCATCTTGAGGTCCCTGGTTCGATCCCGGGTCAGGGGATTTTTTTATTTCCCCAAACTCCATTTGTATAGATCGTATGGAGTATGTATGCCCTATCTGATTTCTGCGAGGTTTCTCTCTAATGTTTCTTTTTTTTTTCGGATAACCAGCTGTCTGATTGTATAGAACTGACTTCTCATATCCGCGACTATAGTCCGTGGCCAATTCTTCAATGGCACAACCCACGTCCCGCCTCGGTCTGTTGGCTAATATATAAAACTGTTAGTAGTAATGATATGTATGCTCTCACTGCTGATACGATTGATTTGGCTTCACCGGTAAATAGTTACTTCTCTACTGCTACTATTGCTGTGAACCCATTGGCTACGGCTGCGCTATCGGCTAGCTAGTCCGTATGAACAAACCATGGTATAGCAAGCATACTACATAGGCTCCAAGGACCAGCATGGTGGAACTCATATCTCAACATCCCAATGTCTTTTATCGTTGAGAATTACTTCTAACCCTTCTACGCTTTCTATGCTGTTCACCTATTACAGGTGCATCTTCTCATATTTACTCCGACTTTATGGTCATTCATTTCGCTTGGTCCTTGCATTTCGGTAAATATAATATTCGCCGAGTCGTTGCTTGTCGTATATGAACGAAATACAAATTATAGCTCTAAGTTGTGAATATGTACGTGGATTTCTATGGGGGTTCATGGGGTTGTGGGTTGTACGGGCTTTATGGGTTATACGGGCTAGACGGGCTCTACAGGCTTCACGGGCTTCACGGGCTAGACGGGCTTCACGGGCTCTACAGGCTTCACGGGCTTCACGGGCTTCACAGGCTTCACGGGCTTTACGGGCTTCACGGGCTTCACGGGCTTCACGGGCTTCACGGGCTTCACGGGCTTCACGGGCTTCACGGGCTTCACGGGCTTCACGGGCTTCACGGGCTTCACGGGCTTCACGGGCTTCACGGGCTTCACGGGCTTCACGGGCTTCACGGGCTTCACGGGCTTCACGGGCTTCACGGGCTTCACGGGCTTCACGGGCTTCACGGGCTTCACGGGCTAGACGGGATTCACGGGCTAGACGGGATTCACGGGCTAGACGGGCTAGACGGGCTGGACGGGCTTCACAGGCTTTATGGGCGCACCATACCAATTCGAATAAACCGGAAGCCAACAAGACCCCGAGGGAACAATCATGAACAATTCATAGACAATCATGTCAACAAATGATGATCTCCCACAGATGTTGAAGACCTGACCCGACAGCGGACATACCACCGCCGATCAATTGAAGCTTGGACGAAAAGGTTAGTGGCTCCCCCACCAAGCACGGTCCCATATTTGAGGTTTCAACTCGTATGAGGACTGCTTATTGTGTAGTTCAGTGACTATTAATAACCAACGAAGTACCATGACCCATCATTTGAAGGAAATTGGGCACCTCGACGGAGTAAAAGGTAATATCGAAGGCATGAAATTGGTGTCAAAGTTGCGGGGGAGACATACTCTGCCATGCCCCAAGGCCTCGTGTTCCACCGGGAAACACGGACCACTGCTGCACTAACCCGTATGTAGGCTGCAGAAGACGGGATAGACGAATCGGCCAATATGCGGGACATTTCCCCTATCGCCAGGTCGACTGATCAGGGAGGGCCGTCCAATCTTCATACCCTACTCAAGCCAGACATCATTTATTTCAATCCAACAATGACTGCCAGTGAGTGTTATCAGACGATCGGTGTGTAGGCATTTTACTGACAAGACTAATGTGCGATCCACAGAAAGTATGTCCCCGTCGCACGATGAGTTTCCCCCGCGCGTCGACCTCCTCAAGTTGATGGCTCAGAATCCACTTCCTCTGCTCGCCCCTGGAATGGTAGATCCGGCTTCAATGGCGGATTATGAACCAACCAAGCAAGCTCAACTTGTCTTGGAGAATCTGAACACCGCGCTGGCTAGGAATGATGCGGGGGCGCTGAAAGACTGCTTCTGGAAGGACCAGGCATATTGGAAGGATCAGCTAGCACTGACGTACCACTTACGGACATTCAAATCACCTGGCATAATTGCTGCCAGTCTGTTGGAGACTAACAAGCTGGGGGTCATCAAGGGTGATATAACGGTCGATGGCGGGGCCATATTTATCCAAGCGACGCCAGTGCTTGTGGGCATGACCCGTGGAGATAGAGCTTGGTGAATGGTAGCTGACCTTTTGTACACAGCAATTCATTAACTGCGGACTTGCCTTTCAAACCAGCTCACCGGCTGCCACTTGCAAAGGAAAGGTGATACTCCTGCCAGTCAAGGGCGCCAACGACATGATAGAGTGGAAAATCTGGGTTCTCGGCACCATTCTCAAAGATCTAGATATACAGAAAGAGAACGAGACTTTGCTTCATTCTCCCGGAAGACAATTTGGTGGGATTGAGAGCTTTGAGACTGAAGTGTTCATAATTGGAGGTGGAAATTCGTAAGAAGACGAAAAAGCCTCGAACAATATCCATGCTAACCTGCCACTGGATGATAAAGAGCTATCGCCCTTGCGGCGCGCCTTAAAGCATTGGGGGTCGAGAGTGTCATGGCCGAGCGCAATGTCCACGCAGGGGACAACTGGGCTCTCCGCTATGACAACATGCGTTTCCATGTCCCCACGTCACTCTGCCACTTGCCCTATATGGGTAAGTTTCTCATGTCTTGATATCTGAGTGAGCGATTGATACGAAATCTGGAAACAGACTATGACCAGAAGCTCCTTACTTCCCACCGTCTTTCGAAAGAGGATCTGGCTTCCCAGGTACGACAATATGTCAAGGCTTTCAATCTCAACATGATCACCTCGGCACAGATTCAATGGACCGAGTATGATCCATCGACTAAGCGGTGGATAGTCAAGTTCCAGACTCCTGTTGGTCAACATAAAGCAATCTCTAAACACGTTGTCATGGCCGCAGGTATTGCATCCCAAAAAATGAATATACCATCGATAGCAGATTCCCACCTGTACAAAGGTACCAGTATTCATTCAGAGCAATACAAGAATGCCGAGCAACTGAAGGAGAAGGGGGCGAAGGTGAGTGAAGCTCCGATGCGAAAAGAACCGAGATTGACCGTATTACTTCCACTCCAGTCAGTCATAGTCATTGGCTCCGCCAATACAGCCTTCGACATCCTCGAAGATTGCTACGCTGCAGGATTCCAAACAACAATGAACGTGCGATCGCCAACATACATAGTCCCAGTGGACTACGTCGATAACCCAGCCAGCCTAGGCGCCTATGATTCCGGCGTTGAGCTCGCAGATAACCGTTTTATGACAGTCCCGACAATCATAGATGCCCAATTCGCCCGCAACTTGTTTGCGCATTTCGCATCACAGGAGCCAGATCGCTACAAAGCTCTGGCAGCAGCTGGATTCCCCGTCCTGGACAGCAACAACCCAGAATGTGCATTGATGCAGAACCTGATCGAGCGTGCTGGCGGACACTATGTCGATGTGGGCGGTACCAAGCTGTTGGAAGAAGGCAAGGCTGGTATCAAAGCTAATGTTGAGCCTGTTGCATACACGGCAATGGGGCTGCGGTTCTCGGATGGCAGTCATATTGACGCGGATGCTGTCATCTGGTGTACGGGATTTGCTGATAAAAACGTGCGCGAAACTGCCGCTGAGATCCTAGGAGGCTCTCCAGGTCAGGCTCCCGGCGGTGCCAAGAATGACAAGAATAGCGTGGACGGTGAGGCCAATAGTAAGAAGAAGCTCGGCCCTCGCGAGATTGCTGCTCGCATCGACGCCACATGGGGTGTTGATTCCGAGGGCGAGATACGTGGCTTATGGAAGAGGCAGTCACGCCTTCATGACTTCTGGGTGATGGGTGGCTATACACAGCAACACCGGTGGCACTCGAGGACGTTGGCGCTTCAAATCAAAGCTGAGTTGGATGGTGTTTTGCCGCCGGCTTATCTAGATACACCGATCTTGACCAATTAGTGAGTATAGCTTTATTTTTGACAAGAAATTGAGTCTTCCAAGGTTGTCATTAAGTTAAAGTGGACATCGCGGGTATAAGTCAGGCCCAGTTGTTTTTATTACTCAAATATGATAATCAACCAATCACATCCCCTGATAGCTCAGCTGGAAGAGCGCAAGACTGTAATTGCCCGTTCTGTAAAAAGAACTTGTCATCTTGAGGTCCCTGGTTCGATCCCGGGTCAGGGGATTATTTTTATATCTTTAAAATTTCCGAGTGTTTTCTTTTTAAGCCTTTAAAATAATCAAGAAGTTCACTCCAGACTCCCACGGTGTACGGTACATATATATTGTAGTGGGGTTGTGGGCCGTACTTGCATTGCAGATATACAGTGACTGTTCATAAGTTTTAACACCCCCTAAAGCCCCACCCATATACCGCCTTCCTATACAGTCTACACCGCCGTACAAAATGCGCAGCAAGCATGGGAAATGAATTGATCTAAAGCACCTAAAGCATCTCTGAGACAATGCTTCACCGAGTACAGGCTATCATTGACAGTCAGAGGTGGTATATGCCATATTAGTAGATACTAGTTTCAATTTATGGAGTTTTAGACTGGCAGAATATTACATAATCTAGGGATGTGGGGCTAGGGGGTGTTAAAACTTATGAACAGTCACTGTATGTACTCCATAATGATACCTCGGTTCCCATTCTATCGCAGTACACATGTCAAAGGCTATAAGTCCCTACCATCGAGCTGGCTGAATCATATTGTTCTCAGTGACAGAGGCCGCAAACGCGGCCGACTATTTTGTAGTTTTAAGGTACAACAAATGTCAGTGTGTGTTATTCGCAATATATATCTCCATATCCCTATCTAGAACTTTTAGCCACCACTTGTAGTCGAGCCCAAGCTGCTTCAATATGACTTGGAACATCCACATGAGCAATGAAACCACGTCCCCGAGGACCATAACCATCTTTATCATCCCTCAACCTTGGTACCTCGCCCATGATAAGCCCCAAAAACCGACTTTGTGACCACAACTCTGACGGCGGCGACATGTCTGAATACTCAATGACTCCGCCACGAGACAATTGCACCTGCGGCACAAATACCGGGCAACTAATTACTGAGAGTGGAGGTTGGGCACCTTCATAAGTCTTCTCAAACGATGCCCTGGTCCTGAGCATCATCGTGGGGTCTTGAATGATAATGCAAGTGGCTGGTGCCCGAAAGCCCGCTTCATCGAGGACTTTGCGAGAAAATGAAGCATTCTGTCCACAATTTGTTGATAGGGGTTCAAGGAGAATCTGACATCCTTCCTTGGTGATGAGAGATCGATCGAAGAACTCGCCTAGAATTCGTTCGAGGACTTTGGCCTCAGGGAGACCTTGGATCTCATCTGCAATCCGCGAAAAGGCGGGATGAGATTTCACTGCATCGTAAAGGAGCTCGGTCGAGTGCCCGATGCCCCCGCACAGTACGAGAGCTTTGGTAAGAGATGGTCTTTGCTGAAGAGCCTTGAAGAGGATCTCGGCACTGTGGAGAACCGCTGAGGCGCATATGACAATGCAGTCGACTGGGGATGTCGTGGAGAGATTTTGTACTTGATTGTCGCTGAGAAATTCAGACAACAGATTGATATCCGCGACCGTATGGGAATTTGCGGTCATTGTGTTGGATCGAAGTAGTTCGTTAGGGAGAAATCACACCAGGGAGGCAAAGTTTGTATGTAGCACAAAAATACAAAAAAATCCCCTGACCCGGGATCGAACCAGGGACCTCAAGATGACAGGTTCTTTACAGAACAGGACAATTACAGTCTTGCGCTCTTCCAGCTGAGCTATCAGGGGATGTGATTAGAATAAACTTTCCTTTCTTGATATATGAGGATGAAGAAAGTTCAAAGGTATTAATCTGGCCATTCCGAGTTATTCGTGGACACATATTATTTATCCTCCGTATTCAAAGTGCGATACTAGTCTAGAGAAAGAATTTTTGTGCAAACAACACCTGAAAAATATTGATATTATGCACCATCTTATGCCGAGCCGATCTACTTTACATGACGTCGCAAAACCTTCGCATGTGATATCTGATTTCACATGCCCCACGTCGGAGATCCCGTGACTTCCACGGATCAACAATGATGCGGCTAAATGGACCTCGGCACTTTCCCAGAATGCGACAACGGCCAGTAACGGCAGTCGTCCAAAGGGGAAATACCACCGACTCCACGGGCCTGATTTATAAATCAAGGCTTCCCCGGATATTTGGATTTATTATCCTCGCTTTCGCCCTATTTTTAATCCTCATACCTCTCCCATATCTCCATAACATACTGAAGTCATGTCTAACGGTAAGTGCTGTGCATGTAACAGTCATGGGCATGTATTTAACAGAATACTTCGTGCCTGGTGGCTTGTTCCAAGTTATAATCGAAATAGAATCAGCAAACTAACTTCTATCTATAGCCCAGCAACGTCTGAACCAGGTTTCCTCCCACTTCGGCCCTGGCGGCAAGAAGGGAGCCGCCGCTATCATCGAGAAGCACCCGGATGACATTGTCGTGACATGTGCCCTGCGCACCGCCTTCACCAAGGGTGGTAAGGGTGGATTCAAGGATACCGCTGGTGCTGATCTGCTTGCCGGTGTCTTCAAGGCTCTTCTGAACAAGAGCGGCGTTGACCCTAGCGTCGTTCAGGACATTGCTGTCGGCTCCGTCCTTGCCCCCGGTGGTGGTGCTACTGAGTTCCGTGCTGCCGCTCTCGTGGCCGGCTTCCCAGCGAGCACCGCCGTGAAGAGCTTGAACCGTCAATGCTCTAGCGGTCTCCAGGCTATCGCCGATATTGCCAACGCCATCCAGGCTGGCATGATCGATGTCGGCATTGGCGCCGGTGTTGAGAGCATGTCCTCTCAGTACGGGTATGTTTCAAACCCTGGCATTCCCTCGTTCGATATCATGACTAACAGGTTAACACAGACCCGGTGCCGTGACCGAGTTTTCCGACCTCCTCGAGAGCCACCCCGAGGCCGCAAACTGCAAGGTCCCCATGGGTGTCCTGTCCGAGAACATGGCCAAGGACCGTGGCGTCACCCGTGCTTCCCAAGACGCTTTCGCCGCCCACTCATACCAAAAGGCTCTTGCCGCCCAGAAGGCCGGTCTCTTCAACGAGGAGATCGCGCCCCTTGACGTGAAGTGGACCGACCCCAAGACTGGCGAGGAGAAGACTATCACCGTGAAGGCCGACGACGGCGTCCGCGAGGGTATCACCGCCGAGTCATTGGGCAAGATCAAGCCTGCCTTTTCCAAGGACGGCTCCATTCACGCCGGTAATGCCTCCCAGATCTCCGACGGTGCTGCCGCCGTCCTCCTTATGAAGCGGTCCACCGCCGAGCGTCTGGGCCAGAAGATCATCGGCAAGTACGTCGCTGCCAGCGTCATCGGCGTCAAGCCCCTGCTCATGGGAATCGGCCCCTGGGCGGCTATTCCCATTGCACTGGAGAAGGCCGGCATCACCAAGGATGATGTCGACATTTACGAGATCAACGAGGCGTTCGCTTCCCAGTGTGTCTGGTGTATTAATGAGCTCGGCATTCCTTCCGAGAAGATTAACCCCAAGGGTGGTGCTATTGCTTTCGGCCATCCTCTTGGCTGCACTGGTGCTCGCCAGGTCAGCACATTGCTTACTGAGCTCAAGCGCACAAACCAGAAGATCGGTGTCACCAGTATGTGTATCGGTACCGGTATGGGCATGGCCGCCGTCTGGGTGTCGGAGTAAACGAAACTTGAGTTTCGGTTGTATATTTGCACAGCGATTTGGCTTTTAGCCCTTTTTTTCTTTTTTGGATACACAGATTTCTCGTTATGTATTGTATACTTCGAATACCAAAAGATTGGACCAGCATATATGCTATACATTTGATAATATTATTTCTGTAGGGTTCTTACTGGTCCACTACCTACGGCAGTATTTAGCCGTCAGTGAACTGTATCAGATTTTGCCTGTAGTATAGCTTGCATCTGAATACATCGATATCAATCCAAATTTTATACCTTTGTATACATTCGGCTGAAAGTAGGCCATCAGCGGAATTGCTTAAAAGCATCAGTGACGCTCATTCCCTGCGCAACGGCCTCAATGGCCTTCTCATCCATGGTAGTGAGTTTAGGCATGAGCTCAAGCACCTGGCCGAGCAGCTCGCGAGGAATGGCCACCACTCCTTCCAAGGGGTCACAGAAGATGATATCTCCCTAAATGCGTTGCAATAATTAGATCCTGAACTCTACATGAAACAATCGAATAGCACAAAAACTAGAACTCACAGGCGAAACAGTGACACCACCAATTGTGATAGGCACATCACGAGCACCAGCCTTGGCCTCGGCATTGGTGCCAACAGTAGAACTAGCACGAGCCCAGATCTACCACCATGCGAAAATTAATCAGTAACGCTACCAACAAACCCATTAGACCAACGACAAACCGGAAGTCCAGTGGCTTTCAATTCCCTCAAGTCTCTGACACGGCCACCCACAACCGTGGCTTTGATCCCGAGGGCTTTCATCCGGGTCGCCATGATCCCGCCCGTCACAGCGCAGTATTGGCCCTCAGGCTGCTCGATGACAACGATGGATCCAGCGCCAGAGGAATCCGACTCTTGAAATGCGCCGACGTGATCTACCCAGTGCTTACCCGGCGGGAAGCCGTGCTTCTGGGGATTTTCAGTCGCGATTGCTGGCGGGCTGGCGTCTTTGGCCAGGAATTTGAATGTTGTGGCCGGAGCCGCAATCTTGGGCATTGTTTCATTCCGCCCTGTCGTGGGCGAGAATGGCACTGGTGGATATATGTAAGTGGGGTTATTGGAGTTATAGTCAGAGGCTTTGCCGATGGTTTACCTAGATCTGCGAGGTAGCCTGCTCTTGCTGTGCTGCCCTCGGGTGTCTTTTGCAGCTTGATGAGGGCGTCTGATACCTGGGAAATTAGAATGTTAGATGCATCGTCTGAC